CTGAAAGGGGGTTCCAAAGAGGATGGATCTACACTGTTCTCAGTAGTACCGGATAATAGAACAAGAAGTAACGGTCTCAAGTTGCAGTGTGGGAGGTTTAGGTTGGATATTAGGAAAAACTTTTTCACTAGGAGGGTGGTGAAACACTGGAATGGGTTACCTAGGGAGGTGGTGGAATCTCCTTCCTTAGAAGTTTTTAAGGTCAGGCTTGACAAAGCCCTGGCTGGGATGATTTAGTTGGGGATCAGTCCTGCTTTGAGCAGGGGGTTGGACTAGATGACCTCCTGAGGTCCCTTCCAACCCTGATATTCTATGATTCTATGATTCTATGCCCAAGTCTCTGCTAGCACTACAGCCCCTCCTGCAGTGCCTTGTGCTGGGGCCAAGCAGCCCTAAATCAAAGAGCCAAAACCTTCTCCCTTTGGCTGCCCCTCCACAGTATATCGGAGAGGTGCTGGGCCATGGGGCAGAGTTGGGGTCAGGAAGCCTAGCAGCAGCGGGTGACCCTCGCTACCCTTTCCCTTTGCAGTCCAGTCACTCCCATTCCCTCCCTTCGGAGGTGACTCAGAAGATGTCAATAGAAATTGTGTAGGACAGCAGTTTGTGAACTCGCCAGCTTCCTGGGGTTACCTCCAGGTGGGCTCCAACCTGCGCTGCCCCTGAGTCAGGCACCCCCAATCCCTTGCATGGCTGTGTGCTGTCTCTGAGTGTCATCTGAACATGCCAGCTCTGCCAGTGCCCCCAGCCACTGGTTCTCTCCATTTGCTTCCTTGGCACGGTGGCACCCTTCTTTAAAGAACCCTTCCTCCCTCTTCAATCAGAACGAATCCAGGGCTCTGAGAAACGCCTTTTCTCCCCAAATGGCCCCTTTCCTTCATAAGGTGTCACTGATTGCAGACCCTGTTTAATAACTAATGGACATGGTAATTAGTAGTTTTCTAATTAAGGCTGTAGCTGATCCTTCATTCTGATAGGTGAAATTAAGCAGCCATTAGCTCACAGGAAAGAGCATTTCCAGTGTAGGACCCAGCTGGGCTGCAGACACTCTAATGACCCTTTCTTCCCCCCTCATTAAACCCATTCTTGCTGTTGAAAATCATTAAATAGTTCATTAACATAATAATCCTTTTAAGATCCTGCATTGCAAATGGATTTGTCAAGTGCTGTTCCTAAAGGAGTTTGTCATATTAAATTGTCTTCTACTGTAATGAATTTTATGATAGATTGTGCTGCTTTGGGAATGATTTATGGCCACCTCTTGCTTTATTAACCAGTCTTGTAAAGTAATTTGTGAATCAGAGGCTCATTTATTTTGCTGAGTCTCTCCTTGTGTGAGAGGAACTTTGCAAAGCAGAGTTGTGAGGGGGCACAGAGCACGATATTGCATTGCCAGGAGAAATATTAGTCATCTCTGTTCCTGTATTTCTGCAGCCATGCCCCCTATTCCCTAATCACCCTGACTACTCTAGTGTAGCTACTCTAGGTTCAGTTGTTTTTAGCTATTCCCTGTTGACTACAGGGCTAGGCATTGAGGACTAGCATGGGTCACAGGGGGATAATAAAAGAGATGTGTCTTGCCTTAAATCCTATGACACAGAAGAGTTTTGTGTATCTGTACTGATACCGATTTCCTGAGTGGACACACCCAAAGTGACGTGGCTCTAAGGGAGAGCAGATCAGCAACCGAGACTGCAGTCACAGTACCTTGTGATGTGTCATCCCCATCACAGCACACAAGCTAAGATGTCCTGGGCTGCATCAGGGATTTTACAGGAGACCTCCAATGGGAAGTCATTGTGCTTCAGGAAGTAGAGCTGGGGAGCCAGTGGGCAGAGCTCTTTCCTCTGCGTGAACATGTACAGTGGGATTTCCGAAAGAGCCTGTGGGAGATAGGAACCTAAAAAGCTAATGAGTGTTGGGCACCTTCCGGAGCCTTCGGCAGTCCCACCTGCAGTTAACATTCCAGCATGTTGCGAAGGGCCCTGTGCTGCATTGGAGGTACTGTACTGTTCTTCCAATAAGGTGCAATCCTGGGGTCATTAAAAATCCCAGGGCACTTTTCAGAGGAATTGGGGTAGAATCCCATGTATCATGCTCAAATTCCAATTCAGAAAAGTCGGAGATGGAGAAGAGCTATTCAGTTATCTAGTCCCTCTCCCTGCCAATCCAGGATAAAAGTAACTACATCCTGTTTCCCTAAACTCCAGGCGATAAGATATGTTGCTTCGCTTTGTGTCCTATATTGTCACTGTATACTGTTGCCCTTGCTGTGTTCCACCCCAGAGGTAGCAGCATTTCCGTGATGGATGAAGTGAACCCTGTGAACAGTGTGTTAACTTCACAAAATGCTTTGCGATCTTTCAGGATGGAAGGTGCGAAATATAATGTAAAAAGGGAAAATATTGTTTATAAAATTCATACGAGCAAAACGGTTAGAGTGCTCTGATGGTGCAGGACCAGCATTGGTCAAAAATTTTCTATTGATAAAATCGTTTCCTGACAAAAAAAGTGGTTTTTCCACAAAATTTTTTTTTTCTGGCAGGTATCTGCTTTCCATAGGAAATTCTGAATTTTCATCAAAAAACCAAAGGCCTCAAAACTGAAATATTTTTGGATGAAAAACAAAATATTTTGTTCTGGAGATGCTGCTGTAGTGTCTCATGGGGGTTGAAAGTCAGTGTGCTCTTGTCCCCACACTCCTGAATGGGCCGGGCCCCACAGCAGGACTACATCTCCCATAATGCACCATAGCTACATCAAAATATTTAATTTTTCAGCCAACATATTTGGTATTAAAATTTTTGCCAAAAACCAAAATTTTCTGCATTTTCTCCATTTTCCAACCAGCCCTGGGCAAGCAACTTGCATAAAAGGAGAGAATAAACAGAATGGGGCTGCACACTGTATTGTGTTATAGGGAGTACTAACGTGAGTAAAGTTACTTATGTGTGAAAGTGTTCACAGGATCAGACCTTAGTCTGGCAAGGAGAGGAATGAGAGAATGCAGGCTACAAGGACAAATGAGAGTAAATGGTACAGAACAGGCCACTCATGTGCCCTATTTTATCCTACCCCATAAAAAGAACTTGAAGACCCTCAAATGTCTGTTAGAATCATAGAATCATAGAATATCAGGGTTGGAAGGGACCTAAGGAGGTCATCTAGTCCAACCCCCTGCTCAAAGCAGGACCGATCCCCAATTAAATCATCCCAGCCAGGGCTTTGTCAAGCCTGACCTTAAAAACTTCTAAGGAAGGAGATTCCACCACCTCCCTAGGTAATGCATTCCAGTGTTTCACCACCCTCCTAGTGAAAAAGTTTTTCCTAATATCCAACCTAAACCTCCCCCACTGCAACTGGAGACCATTACTCCTCGTTCTGTCATCTGGTACCACTGAGAACAGTCTAGATCCATCCTCTTTGCGGATGATACTAAACTGGGAGGAGTGGTAGATACGCTGGAGGGGAGGGATAGGATACAGAAGGACCTAGACAAATTGGAGGATTGGGCCAAAAGAAATCTGATGAGGTTCAATAAGGATAAGTGCAGGGTCCTGCACTTAGGACGGAAGAACCCAATGCACAGCTACAGACTAGGGACCGAATGGCTAGGCAGCAGTTCTGCGGAAAAGGACCTAGGGGTGACAGTGGACGAGAAGCATTTATAGGGATGTATTTATAGGCATTTATAGGCATTTTGGGAAAAGGACCTAGGGGTGACAGTGGACGAGAAGCATTTATAGGGATGTATTTATAGGCATTTTGGGATGTATAAGTAGGGGCATAGCGAGCAGATCGAGGGACGTGATCGTTCCCCTCTAGTCGACATTGGTGAGGCCTCATCTGGAGTACTGTGTCCAGTTTTGGGCCCCACACTTCAAGAAGGATGTGGATAAATTGGAGAGAGTCCAGCGAAGGGCAACAAAAATGATTAGGGGTCTGGAACACATGAGTTATGAGGAGAGGCTGAGGGAGCTGGGATTGTTTAGCCTGCAGAAGAGAAGAATGAGGGGGGATTTGATAGCTGCTTTCAACTACCTGAAAGGGGGTTCCAAAGAGGATGGCTCTAGACTGTTCTCAATGGTAGCAGATGACAGAACGAGGAGTAATGGTCTCAAGCTGCAGTGGGGGAGGTTTAGATTGGATATTAGGAAAAACTTTTTCACTAAGAGGGTGGTGAAACACTGGAATGCGTTACCTAGGGAGGTGGTAGAATCTCCTTCCTTAGAGGTTTTTAAGGTCAGGCTTGACAAAGCCCTGGCTGGGATGATTTAACTGGGAATTGGTCCTGCTTCGAGCAGGGGGTTGGACTAGATGACCTTCTGGGGTCCCTTCCAACCCTTATATTCTATGATTCTATGATTCTATGATTCTCTTTGGAACCCCCTTTCAGGTAGTTGAAAGCAGCTATCAAATCCCCCCTCATTCTTCTCTTCCGCAGACTAAACAATCCCAGTTCCCTTAGCCTCTCCTCATAAGCCATGTGTTCCAGCCCCCTAATTATTTTTGTTGCCCTCCACTGGACATTTTCCAATTTTTTCACATCCTTCTTGCAGTGTGGGGCCCAAAACTGGGCACAGTACTCCAGATGAGGCCTCACCAATGTCGAATAGAGGGGAACGATCACGTCCCTCGGTCTGCTGGCAATACTCCTACTTATACAACCCAAAATGCCATTGGCCTTCTTGGCAACAAGGGCACACTGTTGACTCATATCCAGCTTCTTGTCCACTGTAACGCCTAGGTCCTTTTCTGCGGAACTGCTGCCTAGCCATTCGGTCCCCCGGTCTGTAGCAGTGCATGGGATTCTTCCCTCCTAAGTGCAGGACTCTGCACTTGTCCTTGTTGAACCTCATCAGATTTCTTTTGGCTCAATCCTCTCATTTGTCTAGGTCCCTCTGTATCCTATCCCTACCCTCCCTTGCTCTAAGGGCTAGTCTGCATGCACCCTTGCACCAAAATAACTAAACTAAATAACTTTTCATTCATTTATTTTGTAGTTTTGGTGCAGGTTTGAGTGAAGACCAGCCCTCAGACTACGATGAGTTACAAAGCAGACTAGAAAGAGTTACAAAGGGATCTCACTAAACTGGGTGAGTGGGCAACAAAATGGCAGATGAAATGTTGATAAATGCAAAGTAATGTACACTGGAAAAGACAATCCCAACTATACATACAAAATGATGGTCTCTAACTTAGCTTTTGCCATGCAAGAAATAGATCTTGGAGTCATTATCGATAGTTCTCTGAAAACACCTACTCAATGTGCAGCGGCAGTCAAAAAAGCTAACACAATGTTAGGAACCATTAGGAAAGGGATAGATAATAAGACAGAAAATATCATAATGCCACTGTAAAAATCCATGATATGCCCAAACCTTGAATACTGAGTGCAGTTCTTGTCACCCCATCTCAGAAAAGATATATTAGAATTGGAAAAGATACAGAGAAGGGCAACAAAACTGATTAATGGTATGGGACAGCTTCTGTATGAGGAGAGATTAATAAGACTGGGACTTTTCAGCTTGGAAAAGAGATGACTAAAGGGGAGAATATGATAGAAGTCTATAAAATCGTGAACGATGTGGAGAAAGTGACTAAGGAAGTGTTATTTATTCCTTCACATAACACAAGAACCAGGGGTCATGAGATTAAATTAATAGGCAGTGGGTTTAAAACAAACAAAAGGAAGTATTTCTTCACACAATGCACAGTCAACCTGTGGAACTTGTTGCCGGGGGATGCTGTAAAGGCCAAAACTAACTGAATTGAAAAAAGAACTAGATAAGTTCATGGCGGATAGGTCCATCAATGGCTATTAGCCAAGATGGTCAGGGATGCAACCCCATCCTCTGGGTGTCCCAAGCCTCTGTCTTCCAGAAACTGGGAGTGGATGACAAGGGATGGATCACTGGATGATTACCTGTTCTGTTCACTCCCTCTGAAGCACCTGGCATTGGCCACTGTCAAGAGATAGGATACTGGGCTAGATGGACTATTGGTCTGATCCAGTATGGCGGTTCTTATGTTCTTATATTATCAGTAGGACTCAGAACTAGGTTTGATTCTTCTGAATAAGAATAGCATCTGCAGTTAGAAATGGCAACAGTTATCAATCCTGATCCTTTAGGGTATATATTGATCAAAAGCTGGGACAGGAAGAGATTTCCCCCCATGCTGTAGTGTTGCACATTTGTTTCTTGTCTGGTACAGAGTGAAGGTGTTGGGGGTGACAATTCCTTATGAAGAATCTGGAAGAGGCCACTGCAGAAGATGGGATACTGGATTAGATGGTCTCTTTTGGTAGAGTCCTACTTTAGCTATGTAATCCCATACAGTGGTACCGCTAACCATTTGCCAGACCCAGTGAGATGATGCTTTCTAGTCCATTTCTGATCTCAGACAGTTTTAGAGGCATGCTTCTGATGAAACCGACAGAGACAAATGACCTTAAATACTTGTCAAGTATCAGAGGGGTAGCCTGGATATGTAAGTCTGGATATGTAAAAGTGGCAAAGAGTCCTGTGGCACCTTATAGACTAACAGACGTATTAGAGCATAAGCTTTCGTGGGTGAATATCCACTTCATCGGATTCATGTACATCCGACATATCAGGCTTATGCTCCAATATGTCTGTTAGTCTATAAGGTGCCACAGGACTCTTTGCCGCTCTTAAATACTTGGACTGTCAGAAAGCGGGACATTCTGAAGGAGAAGCTGGGACTCTGGAACAAGACACTTGATTTGGATCACTGGAAGCAGAGCTTGCAAACTGTCTTTGGGAAGAAGTTGCACATGTTCTCTGGTTTGCCAAAATGCTATTTACATCTTTATATTCTGCATCATTTTGCCTGAAAACCGAGAAACAATGATTCCCTAGTCTGAGTGCCTTAATTTGCAGTTCCACAGGCTTTTCTAAATGGAGCTGGCATTTACCACAACCTGGCCCTCGCTCACCCTACAGAGAGAGGTTCAAAGGCCACTAAGTAAAATGGAATAGACACTCACAGAGATGGCTGTGTGGTCCAGTGCACCCAGCAAGGGACTGGGAGCCAACAACCCTCAGCTCTGTCCCTGATGCTACCACAAACTTAACAGTTCAAACCACTGAAAAAAACGTATCAGTGTATTTACTTTGATGTTTGCAAAAAGCTATAATGACAGAGAGCCTCTACAATACATTTTCCAAAGCCTCCAGGTGACTTGGAGTCTAAGTTCCATTTTCAAAAGTCACTTACGCAGGGAGGAGCTGAAGTCTCATTGTAAGTCAGTGGGATTCAGGCTCCTAAGTCACTTTTGAAAATGAGTCCTTGGCTTCTAAATCACCAAGGTGCTTCTGAACACTTTGTCCTAAATCAATCACTAATAAGACGTGCCTTTCTTCCCAGTGTGCCGCAAGGCAGGGGAATGTAGGTAAAGTCCCCGGATGAAGGCAAAATAAAAACTCGCCTCACTCCAGCATTTTGCCTCTTCACTGTCAGGTACAGCACCCCAGGAGATGCTGAGTCAGATGCTAATGCTGCAGCTAGTGTGTCAGCAAACCCAGCCACCACCCTGGGATCAGTAACCCTTCCTGGATAGCCCTGGGAGTCCACATCGGAGTTCTTGAGGGACTTTGGCCCAGGACTCCATGCTACCTTCCTCCTTTCCAAACGTGGCCCTGCACGCTCTGCCTTCCCCCGCCTCCCCTGTCGGTGATTAGCAGCAGGGCTAACAAGCTATCTGAAGGACGCACTGGAAAATATCTGAATGCGTGAGCCTTTCTCGGGGAAGAGAGCACTCCTGCCCTTCTGTGGGAATGAGCAACTCAGGGCTGCCTTTGGTGGCTCACTTTTAAAAAATGAACCCACTGCAAATGCAGCCACAATAGCTGCTGTCCATCTTTTCAGAGTCACAGAACAGCGGAAGCAAGTGACCATGGATGTCTGAACTCCAGGGATGAGTTCAGCCTGCCCCGGGCCCAGCCTTGGCTGTTGGCCCTCAGCTGCCGGTGCTCGTCTCCATGCGCCAGCTCGCTCCAACTCAGGTGTGGCTTGTGCGACCGTGTCTGTGCCGAAGGTGCTGCGTTCAGGAAAAGTGAACCCATGAAAGAAGCCTTCCCGGGCAAGCGTGGGGGGAACATGGCCTTTGGAATGGCCCGGGGGCTTCTCCAATTCTGCACATTGACACAGGAAAGCTTTCCCAGACAGGCAGACTCAAAATACACTGGAGTTCATGTAGTGATGGCAGGAGGTGCCAGGCTGACAACCCAGCTACAACATGGGCAGCAGTACCAGCTCCCCATACAGTGGCCTGCCACTCTGCCCCAACCCTCACTGGGAGCCCTCCACTCTGGCTGCCGGGGGGTTCAGTTTTCAAGCCCATTTGATCCTTGGATGAACTTGCCAATAAGAGCCCACGACCATGATGAGCTTTGTCATGTGGGTCCTGTCCACTGAGAACCACCAAGTGGCTGCACAAGGCCACCAGACCAGAGCAGCCACCAGACGATAAGGTCTTGCAGACAACACAGGCCCAGGTCTAGACTGGCACTGGAGAGCTGGACGTGAAAAGCTTTATACCCTACTGCTGGGACACTCTGACACAAGGGAGTGCAGCTGAGTAATCACGTCTCCTGGCCTGATTCCTGCAACTGGGTAACACACGGAGCTCTCTTTGTGCCCTCAGACACTGAATTCCCCTGTGGAATTAGCTTGTTCTCCTAAGGTGAACTTTGGAAAAGGCTGCAGGGCAGAATTTTTGCTGACCTCATACATAATCCAGAAAAGGCAGTTTTAAAAGCAGGTCTGGTCTTCAGAGTCTGTGCTACATTAACAAGTCAAGTTCTGTACCATAAAAAAGAAATGAACATTAAACGTACCCTCGTAAAGTGTCTTGGCCTCTTCTCCTCACTCTGTTCGCTGGCTGTCTTTCCTCATAGCCTGCAAATCTGTCTGTCTGAAAGTCCCCTTCATATTGGCCCTGGGCTTGTTCCATGTACAAAAGTGCTGTACATCCTAGCATGAACTTGGCCAGCCATAATAACCCCATGATGGCAAGGATTCCTTGATTCCCTCTGCTGCCCTGAAAGCCTCTTCCAGCTGGAGGGGCCCTGCTGCCCTGGTGGAGGATGGATTGTGGCAGCAAACCCTGAATGCCAGGCTGCCGTCCTGACGGTCCCCTTCTGAGGCTAGAAGCAGAGACAGGACAGAGGAGACACAAGTGTTCTTAAGGGCTTTTACATTTTTAAAATGATCATTCACCCCAGGCCCCCCTTCCCCAGCATTAATAGAGTGAGGTCACAAAATCGCACTGACTTTGGCTCCTTGTGCACAATCCAAGGAGTTGTGAGCTTGTTAGCTCACACACTCATACCACACAAAGACATTGCCAAAGAATTTCTTTCCCAAGAGTTAGGAACGGACAGAGGCTGCTCCCTCTGGATCTCTATGGAGTGGAGATACTCTCTTCCTTCCCCTCTGTCCTTCCAGAGCATTTAGAAACATAAAGGGCACCCAATTAGTGCATCAAGTGTAGTTGCAGACATGCCCTGGGGTTTGATGGCTGCCGGCCTGCGATACCCTGAATGCAGCTCCAGGATTCAGGAGAGCAATGCAAGAAGCAGGGCTATGGGGCCAGAGAAGATGCACTCAGGACAGTGGTTTCCCAGGAGAAGCTCTGGCCTCATGTTTGTGGGCCCCCTTGCTCAGTTCCCCAGCTGTGCCCTCCCAGCCCATGTGCCACTCAAACCAGGAGGAGTGGGGGCTGGGATGTGGGAGGGGCATGGGAAGTACACTGCCCTGAAAACAGTGTTCCCAGCTCCTGGGATTCCCTTTGAAATCCCCTCCATTTCCCAGTGGGTCAAGGGGAGTCAAGGAGCCCAGATGGTGGAGGGGGCTCAGCCCAGTGATGGAGTGGGGAGAAGGGGAATGAGGGGGGATTTGATAGCTGCTTTCAACTACCTGAAAGGGGGTTCCAAAGAGGATGGATCTAGACTGTTCTCAGTGGTAGCAGATGACAGGACGAGGAGTAATGGTCTCAAGTTGCAGTGGGGGAGATTTAGGTTGGATATTAGGAAAGGCTTTTTCACTAGGAGGGTGGTGAAACACTGGAATGTGTTACCTAGGGAGGTGGTGGAATCTCCTTCCTTTGAGGTTTTTAAGGTCAAGCTTGACAAAGCCCTGGCTGGGATGATTTAATTGGGGATCGGTCCTGCTTTGAGCAGGGGGTTGGACTAGATGACCTCCTGAGGTCCCTTTCAACCCTGATATTCTATGATTCTATGATTCTAAGGGATGAGTATAGAGGATTGCATGGGGCTGAATGACAGGTACTACGCAGGGGCGAGGGAGAGGAGGATAAATGTGATGTGTTAGGGCTGGGCTGGTATTTGTGGGGAGCTCAGTGAGATTGTACCATGTGTTCGGGCCATACTGGGGGCTGGCGTGAGTGCAAGGTCAAGGCTGAAGTAGTGCAGGGGATGGGATGACAGGGGAGAGCCTTTGAGCTGGGCCAGGCCTGGAGAAGTTTGCGTGACTTAGTGTGAAAGGCTGGGGGGGTGATTGTTATGCTGGTGCTGGGGACAGCAGTAGCAGGCCCTGGGTGTCCCTTAGCACTAGCAAGGGGGCAGCTCAGGGGTAGGCACAGGGATCTGCAAACAGGAGGCCAGTGTCAGAGCGTCTGCCCTCAATCCTGGACCGGCTGCCTGGCATGATTTTGTCAACCTATGCTGTGGCCTGTGGGAGCCAAAACACGGGCACATCCCCAGACAAAGCCCATGGCCCCGGGTCCCACGGATGCTGCTCCAGTCACTTTGCCATGTGTCTGTGTCAGTGAACAAAGCAAAATTAAACCCAGACACCTTCCAACGGGAGGAGACGGGACGCTTCCTGGGGAGCCCGCAGAGCGACGAGAGGAGGCTCAGCACCACTCACTGGGCTGCTCATGTGTGGGGAGGAACTCGTGTCACTGGGGCTGTGGTCGGTGGAGCCCATTGGGGGTCACTGGGGGCCATGGTCAGGGGAGGGATCCATCTTGTGTCACTGAGGCCGTGGTCGGCGGAGCCCATTGGAGGGTCACTGGGGGCTGTGGTCGGGGGAGCCAATGGGAGGAGGGACTCAGCTCCTGTCACTGGGGGCCGTGATCAGGGGAGCCCATGGGGGGTCACTGGGGGTCGTGGAGGGAGGGATCCAGCTTGTGTCACTGGAGGCTGTGGTCACTGGGGGCCGTGGTCGGGGGAGCCCATTGGGGGAGGGATCTGGCTTATGTCACTGGGGGCCGTGGTTGGGGGGAACCCCTTGGGGGTCACTGGGTGCTGTGGGGGAGGAATCTGGCTTGTGTCACTGGGGGCTGTGGTCACTGGGGGCCGTGGTCGGGGGAGCCCATTAAGGGAGGGATCTGGCTTGAGTCACTGGGGACCATGGTCGGGGGAGCCTATGGGAGGAGGGACTTAGCTTGTGTCACTGGGGGCCGTGGTTGGAGGGAGGGAGAGAGGGAGGGATTCTGTTCATGTCGCTGGGGTCAGGGAGAGCCCATGGGGGGAGGGATCTGGATCGTGTCACTGGGGGCCCTGGACTGGGGGAGCAAATGGGGGGAGAGATTTGGCTCGGGTCACTGGGGGCTGTGGTTGGAGGGAGGGAGAGAGGAAGGGATTCCGTTCATGTCACTGGGGTCAGGGGGAGCCCATGGGGGGAGGGATCTGGATCGTGTCACTGGGGGCTGTGGCCGGGGGAAGAAGGGAGGGATCTGGATTGTGTCACTGGGGGCCGTGGTTGGAGGGAGGAAGGGAGTGTCACTGGGGGCTGTGGTCTGGGGGAGCCCCTGGGGGAGAGATTCGGCTCGGGTCACTGGGGGCTGTGGTCGGAGGGAGGGAGGGATCTGGATCGTGTAACTGGGGGCCGTGGTCTGGGGGAGCCCATGGGAGAAGGGATTTGACTCGTGTCACTGGGGGCCGTGGTCGAGGGAAGGGAGGGAGGGATCTGGATCATGTCACTGGGGACTGTGGTCGGGGGGAACTCATGGGGGGAGGGTTTCAGCTCATGTCGTCATGGCCCGTGGGGCGCACAGAGATCTCCGGAGTGGCTTTATTTTGGTGCCAAACATACTGCAAATACACCAGTGCCTTTTGCATCAAGCCTACAGGGCTGTGCCCTGGGACTGGCACCATGGACTCACAGGGTCTCAGGCAAATGGGATGGGATAAGCAGGCCCCGGCAGTGGGAGTGTGGCCATCAGCCGTGAGCAGAGCTGCAGCAGGAGCTGAAGAAGGGGAGAAAGGCGCAGACTCTGAGCTAAGGGAGGGCTGTGAGTAATGGGCAGTGTGGGTGCCAGGTCCTGGGCCTGGCCTCGGGGATGAGGGTGGAAGTCTGGGTGTATGATAGGGAGTATGGCTGGGCTTGGGTTCAGGGTGCATGAGCTAAGGGTGCATGTGATGGAAGGCAGGGCGGGGGGGTGGCTGACTGGCAGAGTCCATGGGCTGGTCTGATATGGGCAGGTAAAGTGTGGTAAATTTGAGATGTTTTATCACTGTCCTTACCCATCCCCCCTCCCTCAGCTCCCACTCAAGGCTCATTCCTTCCCCAACCCTGCTCCCCATTCCCCAACTCCCCTGGCCCTATACTGGCATGTACAGACATTCAGCTGTTCTGTTACCCACCCCCTCACTCCAGCATGCTGGAGCTGGGAGCCAGTCCCCAGGAGAGCCAGGGCTTGCAGCCCTCCTCAGAGAAGGAGGGCCAGAGAGCATCTTTCACCCTGAGACCCCAAGTCTTCTCCCAGAGGTTCCCCCTCTCCCCAAAATGAAAATGATTGCTGCTGCTGCTGAGAGAGGCACAGCCCTGAGTACTCCTGCTGGGAGGCATGGGGCCCTGAGCTGCCCCTAGAAGTCCCCCATGCTGTCCCACAGAAGCACTTTCCAATTCCAGCACAGCCCAAAAGCAGGCAAAAAGCAGCACAGACAAGGCAGAAAACGTGTTCAAACCATTCCAAAACTCACAGCTCCAGAGCAGTGTCCTTGGTCAGAATTTCTCAGCTCTTGAGGACATGCTTTTTCAAGCTCTAATATTTCAAATTCAGTGAATGAGAAAGACAGAGAGTGGGAAGGAGCAAACTGGGCTGGGAGCAGAGGCAAAGGAAGAGACAAAGAAACTGCCCTCCCTGCAGTGCCTTGCAAAATTCTACTACTTTGCTACACATGTCTGTCTGCTGAAGGCTAGGATCTGATTATCTCCAGCTAGACAAAAGAGAGGTAGTTTTTAGAGCTTTCAAAGTAACACACACATGGAAAAGTGGTCATAGAAAGCAAAGATTTTTTTTTACACTAGGAGGTTTCCAATCTCTCGTGCAGAGATTTCGGTTGAGGAGATAAGTGACCCCTTTAACCACAGTGAAATTAGAATAACACCAACGATCAATACACAGGCACATACCCTTGAAAGCGTTAACACTGCAGTTCTGCTAAAAGAATATGGAAAAGTAATTTACACCATCTGAAGAGAGTTAAAAAAAGCTCAAAAATTATCTGCAGCTCTGAGAAATTCCACCAAACGTTCTTTGTAAGAAATCAGCATTGACAAAGGAAAAAAAGAGAGACAGAGAATCAATCATTAAATCTGAGCTAACACAGACTGGCAGATTTGAGGGGAGCAGGAAAGACATTTCAATCTGTGGCATTAAGTGTCAGAACTAAACAGAGGGGAAAATGAAAAAAAAATAGAAAAAAGGCAGTCGAACAATTGCAAACTAGCTTTGAGATAAAGAGAAAGAAATCAGCCCCTTAGCCACTTAGAGAGTCTGGATTTAGTCTGAATCTGTTTAAATACCTTTAGGTCCTGGAACTGG